GTCCCAACACACGCCACGACCTGATCCATTCCTTTCCCCATCATTTTTATTTTATTATGTCATTATTCTCACATTTATTATGGTTATTTCTCTATGTATTTGGTAAAATTTTCAGATTCCATCTATTTGTATTTTTGTTAAAGGCTGCAGTCAATCTGGGGTGATCTTGCAGTCTTTACGCTGAACACAATTATCAAGATTCCAACCATGATCTCAAAATAAACTTTCCATTAAAAAGAAAGAAGAAAAATACCATGTTGCCCACTTGCACAACCCATCAAAGCCAATGTTCTGTCATGAACAATAGAAAACGTGTCTAAAAAAAATAAGTGATTTGAGAATCTCTACGAACACTGGGCGAACTCTCCAATTAATGTTGATTAGCCTATTCGGATTTACTGTCATTTTCAGGGCAGTGTTTTGCTGAAAGTGATTGTTGCAATGCATTTGCAGTTGTGAGGTTCTGGCCTATGTTGTTATTGGCAAGTGTTAGCAATCGTGTTAAAAAAATCGCAAAAACGCTGTGATTTTGGTATTCTTTCGAGCGCTCCATATCAAATCTTCTACATGTTTAAAGTTTAAACATTGCAGCTACGCTAACCTGCTAATCTCAATGGCTTGTCAATTGGAAGAGCTCTTGGAGCTAATGGGTTAATAACATGGCTAAACCCTGTTGGCAGTGAAGGGGCTGGTTAATCAGCAAAGTGAATTTGACACAAGAGCTTTGAAGCATCATTCTTCTGAACAAACTCGCACGTATTCCCTTATTGTGATGTAAAGTTAAAGCACCGCACGCACGCTCAGGCATGTCCACACATACTGTTTCACTCTGTGTACAAGTCACTATGGTTCAGCATTAGATCACACCATGGCTTTAAGTACACTTCAAACCAGAGCTAAAGCTCTCAAGTTACGTTAAATCAAGGAACGGCCATTCAAAACGACAAACGTCACCATCACCATGAGTCCACCTCAACGTTTCCAACCAAACACTTACTAGCGGACTAACAAGTTACAACAAAGTACTGTGTTACTGTGCCATGGTACAGTGATGGCATCAGTGGCAAGACTAAAGGTCTTTGCTACTACAGTACTAGGTGGTTGCCATATTTATACTGTAGCCTAAAATGCTATTGTACTCCAATTAAAAAAAAATACCATGGTACGTGTCCACAAATCTAAGGTACACATCCAAAAACTCACAATACACTCTTATGTCAGTTTGTCAGTATTTTATGTTTTGGTGGCTAGTTTATGTGAATTTGCACGATCTGCCCACTTTAGAGGCAGTTTAGAGGTGGACTTGTATGCTTACCTGTATTCGGTAAATTGTATGTTTATGTACGAGTCATATCGTACGAATTCATACGAAATTGGCAACTCATTTATTGAGAGTGCACTGTAGATGAAGTACTGTTTTCAAGTCAGCATTTGCTTGAATAAACACCACTATTATTAATCCCGCAGGTATTTCAATTCTCAAACTATTTTTGTGATTGCTTTATAACTGGACGTATGAATAAAGGTCATTGTACACCGAGTCCGAAATTTTCGTAATTTATTCATTTTTTTTCAGATTCGTCATCCTTTCCTATCATAATGCTTGCTACGGGTGCGAAAACGCAGAAAATCGAACCTGATCAGAATTTTGTCATTTATTTTTATGACGGACGAAAGTTTCGGAGGCAGTAAACATGATTGACACAACGTGAGGTCGTATTTATTTTTTAACG